GTTTTAGTGTCTCAATGTTTTAGGCGTGGAAGGACATTTGGAGTCTGTCTCAACTTGGCACTATTGGCATTGACATTTTGGGCTGGGTAATTCTGTGTTGTGGGGGTCTGTCCTTTGCATTATAGGATGTTTAGCAGCACTTACCAACTAGATGCCAATAGCACCACCACCACCCCCTGCTCCTGCCCAGTTCCAGACATTGCTGAATGTCCCGTAGAGGGGCAAAATTGTCCTCAATTGAGAACCACTGATCAGATCAAATCTTATTTTGATACAGATACTCTAGTTTTAGGATGCAGACAAGTCCAAAGAATTTTCCTATTTTGTCTCTTTATCTTGGCCCCTAAGTTTCTGCCCTCTTTTTATCTAGATCTCTGTTTTCTGTGCACACACACACACACACACACACACACACAGCACTGTGTTGGATGTGCTCAGGGTTAAGCCAAGAGAAACATGATTATGAGTTTCCTGAAGCATAAAGAAATCGCCCCATGCAAAATGGATTTGATTTTCTTCAGGGCATTCCTGCCTGGGAAGATTTCTACTTACTGCAAATTGAAGTGAGAAAGAAATTGTCACTTTCATTTACAACAAAGAAAATGCTTCAGGTGGATGAATAGAAATACCCTTCCAACAGTAGCCCTTAACTCTACCAAATAAAAGGGATTTATTTTGGCCTAGAGAACCTTGACTCTAAGTTTTCTCTGAAACATTACCTATATCCAAGGGCTGATCATTTCTTCTTTATTACCACCCCAAAGTGTGCCCAGGCAATAATGAAAGGGACCAGGATGACAGATGGCATCTCAATTTTTGCAAACTGAAATGAGCACTCTTTTAGGTGGGGTGAGGAGAATGCCTAGGTTTGTTAGTTCGTTTTTTAATGTTCTTAGATGAATTTTTTTAGTATAGATGTTTATGTATACATCTCTCTATGTTTATGTCCAATTGCATCTATAGGGCATAGGATAAAAATGATTGCTGGGGAAAGTCTAATCTTGTGCAGTTTCCAACTCTGTTTGCATGTTAGAATCCCTTGAATAGCTTTTAACACAATGAGCCCATTTCCCCCTCCTCCCTTCTGAATGGATTAGGAACCCGTTGTCAAAGGGAAATGAATTTTCCCAAGTGCTCAAGGTAGGCAGTAGCAATAGAAATTGAAGCCATTTATCCTGTATTTTCAAAAGCTATTGAGTAAATAAGAGCTCCCTTGCTAATAGAGGACTTTCTCTACCAGACCACGATGGCCAACACCTGAAATCTCTCAGCAAAATAAATGATTAAATCCTCAATTGCAAGTCTGTCATTGCTCTTGGGAAAACAATTCAACCCACGGGTCCTGTTGCCCTCGATCAGTCATCCGCTTCTGAATACAAAAGATACGATTGCTATTATTATTAGCACCATTATTCAAAAATGTGTCATGGGTGGAGAGATGCATCACCTATATTTGGTGGACCAGCTGCTCCAGTAATTTAGCTCCTTTTCTGAAGAAAGGAAACACAATACACTGTATTTAGAAAAAATAATTATCCATCAGCTAATGCGTTTTTCAAAGAAACAGCCTACTACTCCTGACAACGTGTCAGTTGCTGTAGAAATTTACCCATAATTCTAATGGGGCATGGGACAGGAGACAAAGGCATATGTGAGGGAATATGGGAAAAGAATTAATGTATCTTCCTATGTTGCTATTAAAAGATGCTTTTCAGAAAAAAAAGGTAAAATCGTGACTCACAAAGATATAACAATGAATGGGTGTTCAAGATTTTATTCTACTAAATCAATGCAGGAACCAGGTAGATGTTATAACTGATTCAAAAGAACCTAAATAGACTGACTTATAGATCAGGGATATTGAAAGAAAGAGCAAAGGAAAGTAAAACGAAATTTTCCATGAAGGAGGGGGAAGTCAATTGGATCTCTACCAGACAGGAGAGGATTGCATGCATATGAGAATTATTTTTGTGTTGTTATCAGTTACCTACTACTTACAGAGTTGTGAAACACGGCAAAGACAATGAAAGACCAGCATGGGATAACCTGGAGAGGTGATCTCTAGAGCCATACATTCCCTCCCTACATTACCTGTATGCCCTCCTGAAGGGGAAGCAATGAGAATTCAGGTTCTTAATCAAGCACAGTTTTCAAACACAAAGAAAGCTACTAAGTTTTTAAGAATTACAGTTAAGAAAATTATCCTTTAGAGAAGACAATGACTTCAAATGAAACCTAGACCATTGAAAGGCTGAGCTTGGAAACATGGAGGTCCGAGAAGACTGGAAAATTCAGCCCGTTAATTATCCAGAAGTTCATCTCTTGATGCCAAATGCTGGACACTTTATTGATTTTTAAAAGCATCATCCAGCCTGGCCGGCATGGTTCAGTGGTTGAGTGTCGACCTATGAACCAGGGGGTCACAGTTCGATTACCGGTCAGGGCACATGCCCAGGTTGCGGGCTCCATCCCCAGTGTGGGTGTGCAGGAGGCAGCTGATCAATGATTCTGTCATCACTGATGTTTCTATCTCTCTCTTCCTCTCCCTTCCTCTCTGAAATCAATTTAAAAAAATGAAATCAATAAAAATAAAAGCATCATCCAGATGTTCAGCTTGATTAAAGCTGACAGTGGGTAAATCCAGTACTTGCTCGTTACCCATTTAGCTGCTCTGCAAACTAAAATGATCATATATATATATCTCACATATTTATATATTATACTTTTGTAATATTTATATTCAACTTATATTTATAACATAAATATATATTTTAAAGTATAGGGCATGACTATATTATCCTGTGGCTGACAGCTACCAATCCTGCCTGGTAAATGGGTCTTCCTTTTTTTTTTTTTTAATATATTTTATTGATTTTTTTACAGAGAGGAAGGGAGAGAGACAGAGAGCTAGAAACATCGATGAGAGAGAAACATTGATCAGCTGCCTCCTGCACATCCCCCACTGGGGATGTGCCCGCAACCCAGGTACATGCCCTTGACAGAACCCGAGACCCCCCAGTCCGCAGGCCGACGCTCTATCCACCAAGCCAAACCGGCTTCGGCGGGTCTTCCTTTTGAAGAGGAGGCTGGCTGTTAACACTGGGGGTGGCATACACTAGGAATTTAACATACATTTGCCAATTGCATTGAGGTATTTGATTTTTAAGCAACTGAAGAAAGTTGCTTCACTTCCTGGGGAGGTAAGGATACTGGGCAAGCAGCTAACAAGCTTCTAAAAATGGTCTTGAACGAGAAATTACTTTGGCCTCTGTGGGATGGGAATCAGGTATCTCGATTTTACAGTATTTACTCAGCTGCCATTTCTATTATCTAAAAATAAAGCAAAGCAGCTTGAAGTTGACTGTGAGTCTAACCGCTCTGTGTTTGATTACTTCCTAGCTGCTTGGTGTACAAAGAAAGGTCTGGTGTTTCCACAAAGGAGCACATCAGAGGCAGGATTTAAAGATAGAAATCCATGTATCTATTTGCCTTTCTGCCGCATGTATAAAATCAGCCATCTGGATGCTCATTGTCCAATAAAATGATTTCTCGTGTGACTGTGAGCCTTTTCTTGAAGGCAGCTTTTCCTAAACCATGTTGTGAGGCACGGCAGCTGTTAATAGGTTTTCTAAGTAAAGGGGAGGACTGTCTTAAGTTTGGAAGTTGCTGGGTGAAATTTAGTGACGTAGGTTTCCTGACTGTGGGAGCCTTTAATCAGCTGAGGGGTACTGGGAATCTCCAGAGGTGCATGAACCTGCCTCCTGCCCTCAGTTCTGTCCACTCTGCTGTGGACCAGTAGTGCCTTTTTCACTCTCCCTTCAGCCCATGTGTCCCTTTCACAAAAGCTTCCCTTGCTTCCGTCGCCAATTACAAACTCCTCTGTTCTATTTTGTTGGTTGTTTGTTTTTAACGTGTTTTTTTATATATATATTTTTTTTTATTGATTTTTTACAGAGAGGAAGGGAGAGGGATAGAGAGTTAGAAACATCGATGAGAGAGAAACATCGATCAGCTGCCTCCTGCACACCCCCCAACTGGGGATGTGCCCACAACAAAGGTACATGCCCTTGACCAGAATCGAACCTGGGACCCTTGAGTCCGCAGGCCGACGCTCTATCCACTGAGCAAAACCGGCTAGGGCTGTTTTTAACGTTTTAATTGGAGTATAATATATCAGCCTGGTGTTCTCCATCTTCCATAATCCACGCCTTCTCTCCCTCCCAACCAAACCTTATTTCCCTCCTCTCTCTAAAATGCACCCCTGATGCAGTTAGATTGGTCTCCTTCACATGCAAAGCTGCCTATAGATGAATATCTGAACAAATGGCATGGCTGTGTTCATTATAAATTTAAATTTCTTATCATTTTCCCGTGTCATGAAATCTTCTTTTGCTTTTCTTCAACCATTTAGAAACGTAGAGGCTATTCTTAGCTCATGGACTATGTAAAAACTGGCAGGGAGTGGGTCCCTGGCCTGGGCAAATGACTGGCATGTAAAAGGTGGTCAGATCGCAGCTGAGTTTTGGATTGCTATAGGAGGAGAAAGTTCTGGCTCTTCTGCTTGGCTCCTCCTAACCATCATTCATTGGCCTTTTGCTCACAGAGCTTCTCCTGTAGCTAAGGAGAAGGCACCATCCAAGAGAAAAGTTTGTAGTGTTTGTAGGTGCTCATTTTGGGGGTTTTCACACATGGGAGATAGGGTTATTTGCAAGCAACAGAGGTTGATTCTGAATAACTCAGAGGCATTCCAAGTGTTGGGCAACCCACCGAGGAGACTTCGAATCAGTTTAAGGGGTTGCAGCCAGAATTTAAAAAACAAAAAAGAAGAGAAGCTGTAAAGATGCAGCTAAGGTACTTGGTGAGGATTATTTTGTGCAACTTTTATTTCACTTAGACCTATGTGTGATTGTATACACCAGGCCACTCTGTGTACATCTTTTTTTTTTCCCTGTGTACATCTTTAATGGGTCACATTTAATATGTTTGCATAGCACAGGAGCTTAAGGAGAAAAAAATGAAGTTTATTGGAAGCATATGAAAATTCTGCCAGAATCAAGAAAACACTAAATAGCCAGGCCTTACAAAGACTAGGAGCTGGCCCTGGCCCGGTAGCTCAATTGGTTGAAGCATCATCCTGTGCAGTGAAGGGTTGTGGGTTCCATTCCCAGTCAAAACACACACCTAGATTGCAGGGTGGGTACAGGAGGTATCCGATCAGTCTTGCCTGTTTTATTTGCCCAGCACTTGACAAGTGCTCAAGTAATATCTGTAGAATGAATGAAAAAGTAAATAAACATGATCAATGAGAGAATATACTTGTTAAAAAACAAAATTCAACTGAATACATTTTAAAGCTCTTACTGGATTTATTGAACAATTCATGAATCGGGCGTCACCCAGTCTAGTAGCCAGAAAGGAGCTCCGAAGAGATGCCCAAGGAAGAGATTTACAGGCAGAAAGGAGCAGGAATGAAGTTGCACTAGGCAAAAAAGTGGGTGAGTGATTGCAAGGTTACTTTCCTATAGAGGATGGCAGGCGTTTGTGAGGCAGATGACCCAGCTCAGCTGATAAGGTGATTCCTGATTGACTGGTTGAAGGTTCCATTTCTGGGAAAGTGGAAATTGTGATTAAGTTAAGTCTGGGTTTGGTGACGTGGAGCCTAGCATAAGTGACTCCATCTTGGGCCTGTTGTCTTATTTTTAACGCTTGCTAATGAGAAAAGGGAACCGAGGCTGTTTATTCTGATTAAGATAGCATAGGCTCTGACTCCTTAACAAAGGGAGATGCTAACAGCAATGTGTTCTATTTACCAGAAAACTGGTAAATTCAAACCAAGTCTGTGGTTTGGTGGACAGTAATGTACCAATGTTAAATTCTTAATTTTGACACGCATACTACCATTCTGTAAGATGTTAACGTTGGGGGAAATTGGGTGACTATACGTGGGAACTCTCTGTATTATTTTGCCAGTTTTCTGTAAATCTAAATTTATCCCCAAATAAAAACCTTTATAAAAGGAGGGAGATGAGAAGAGGCAAACACCTCAGCCAGCAGACCTGGTCAGCGCATAAGTTCTTGGAGAGAAAGTTTGACTATTACAGTCTTTTCTGATTTTAGAACTCCTTCTAGAATGCTGTTTTAACTAATAGCTTTCTCTTTCTTTATTTCTTTTTTGGCTCTATGATATTCAATCCAGAAAGGCTTTTCTGTAGATAGTAGGCTCATTCATGCTTTGTGGGTATGGGGTAAAACTTAGTCAAGATGCCAGAGGTACCACAGTGAACTTTCTGTCTCCCGCACCCCTCCCGCAGGTGGTCAAATATGAGGTGCCACTCACTTTCAAGGCTGGAAATGAACAAATAGAAAAGTTAGCCACATCCAAAAATGAGAGGAAAAAAGTAAAATATTTTTTCTCCCACATGCCAAGTTCTATTGCCTATTAAACTCAAGCATATTTTGTATTTTCAAGAGAACTATCACGTCCTCCTATTTCTAAGACAATTAGAAAAGAAGAAATAGCCCTGGCCAGTGTGGCTCAGTTGGTTGAGCGTTGTCCCATGTACCAAATGGTCCCGGGTTCAATTCCTGGTAAGGGCACATGCTTGAGTTTCAGGCTCGATCCCCAGTAGGGGGCCAGCAGGAGGCAGTTCATCAATGTTTCTCTTTCTCCTTAAAATCAATAAAAACATTTTTTTAAAAAGAGCCTCTGTTGGAGGCTCCCATGGATTTTGTAAAAAAGAATAAATATAAAATTCTCTTTTTAGAAAAAGAATAAATACAAAATTTTCTAATTCCTAAAGCCTAATTGAACTGTCAGTCTAAGACATTTACTAAGATTCTGCTGTTCTAACAGTGGAGGTAATAAAATACATGAAACCTTGCATCTAGGATCAAAAAACTTTCAGTCTCCCAGAAGAGGGTCTTTTGTGACCTCAGCAGTTTTTTTAAATTCTCAAAAAACAGAGCTTTAAATATTAATTCCCATTCCTTTGTGTTGAAATGTTAGAGGCATGTAGTATAATATGTTTAAACATAGTTGAAAGTCAAGCTATACCCAAATCAGACCACAGTATCAAAACTTATGACATTCTGCTAAAACCTAACCGATTTTTTTTTCCATTCTATTTTCTCACTTGTAATCATTATAAGCCTAGCCATAGCCTATGATTAAATATCAACTGCTTTGGTGCAAAGTGGTGAAGCCTGTAGGTGTTAACAAGCCCTTCTCAAGCCAGCCTTTGGAAACAACCAAGAACAGTCAAGTTTCCAGGCCTACCTGTCTCCCTTGAGTCAGTTTCTCTCCCTGGGCCCATCTTAAAATCACCTGTGTTTGGATACCACCCCAATCCAATATGACTTTGTGTTAAGCTACAAGATCAAGACTGCTGCTCTATTATTCCATGAACTTCCTGAAAGACCAAGCAGGGGAAATGGACATTGATGCTCAGGAAATTCCACTTGAAAGGCCTCCTTTGAACAGAGAAACAGTTTGGTTGGTGGAATTTAGTTATAATGAGTACGTTGTGAGAAATCACTCAAATGGGCTCTGTAGCATTAATAATCTCTTGCGACGGTGAATAGGGGAAGAGTAGAAAAATGTAATTTGAAAAAATATGCAACAGGGAGTGTTCAACCATCCTGGTTTGTCTGGGACTGTCCTGAGTTTAGCATTGAAAAGTCTCATATCCCAGGAAACCATCAACGGGTTACCCTACCATTAACTGTTGTATGGAGATTGCAAGGGTTGAGAAGGCATTTGCTACCCAATGGTGAACAGTACCAACTGGTCACCCTCTCTTTATCTGTGGCCAGGTACTGTGATGCTGAGAGTGACTGCTGCCCCAGAAGAGAAAAATATTAAGAATGAGCTGATATATTGGATGCATGATAACCAAATCAACAAAGCAGGGCTCATGTTAATTAGATGTTAAGACAGAAAACAGCTTTGTTTTAAGGAATATACATTTGACACGGTATTAATCAGTAAGGCATTTAACCAATATAATGAAACCAGGACTCCTCTGGCCTGACTTTGCCACTGTGTTCTCTGCAAGGGCTGTAGTGAACATCTGTCTGTTCTTTGCAGCAATTCTGGCTAATCAAGTTGACATTTTCCTTTCTCTTCAGGTGGCTGAGACTTACGAGACTGAAGTAATTTAGTGGCATTTATTGCATAGATACAGTCAGTAAGCTTTTAAAGAAGTCTTTATAAAGTCATACTCTTTATAACAACTCAAACAATATAGAAGTGTAAAAAGTAGAAAGTAAAAGCCATTCCCCAACCTCAAACTGCCATCAGATTGGGCATATATCTTTCCAGTCTTTCGTTGGAAACTAGAGGCCTGGTGCACAAAATTTGTGCTTGAGTAGGGTCTGTAGGCCTGGCTGGCAATCAGGGCCGATCAAGTTCTCTGCCTCCTCCTTCCCTCGCTCCCTCAGCACCCCGCCAATGCCGCTGGTCACCTGCCATGGCCGTGCCGCCCCCTGGTGGTCAGCACACGTCACAGCTAGCAACCGAACTCCCGGTCTCCTGGTTGAACTCCCGAGGGGATAATTTGCATATTAGCCTTTTATTATATAGGCTATATTAACATGTATTTTTTTTAATAAAGGGGATTATATTATGTGCACTAAACATAGCTTAGTTTTTTTCACTCAAACTAGAGGGCTGATGCATGAAATTCATGCAAGAGTAGGCCTTCCTTCCCCCGGCTGCCAGCACCGGCTTCCCTTTGGCACTCAGGACCCAGGCTTCACTCCGGCCCTGGCTTCGTCTGGAAGGACGTCTGGAATGACGTCTGGTCTACTTAGCATATTATCCTTTTATTATTATAGATAATGTACCATGCCATCTTTCTATGTCAATAATATAGAGCTATCTCATCCTTTTTGATGGTTGCATAATTTCCTAATGTCTGGGTATACCCAACCAATTCCCTATTGATGGACATTTAGGCCATTTAACATATTTGCTCTTATAAATAATGCTACAATAAATATCTTTCTTACTTTTGCACATCTGTCCCATTATTTCCTCTGGATAGATTCTTTTAAAAAAAATATTTTATTGATTTTTTACAGAGAGAAAGGGAGAGGGATAGTCAGAAACATCGATGAAAGAGAAACATCAATCAGCTGCCTCCTGCACGCCCCCCCACTGGGGATGTGCCCGCAACCAAGGTACATGCCCCTGACCGGAATCGAACCTGGGACCCTTCAGTCCGCAGGCCAACGCTCTATCCGCTGAGCCAAAACGGTCAGGGCTGGATAAATTCTTAAAAGTGGAATTACTGAATTAAAGGCATTCAGCTAGGTTTGGAATGTGAGAGACACATATGTGTGAATTCATTTTATGGGTTTCGTTTTGAGACCAAATTAAAACTTCTTAACTTGAGGCAGAAAGAAAATGTCATTACTTTAAGGCAACATGATGCAGTGGAAAAAGGAGTAGCAGAGCAGGAATCAGAATACCTTGGTTCCCGTCCTTATTCATCCCTAAATTAACTATTTGACCTCAACGATCCTCTTCACCTTTCTGACTCTTACCCCCAGTTGTAGCTTGTCTCCTGGGTCTTCCAAATAATTTACAGAGCCATTTTCCACCTTGAAAATATGACCCCTGCTTAAATCCATGAGGAGTTCACCATTGCCTTTAGGATGAAGCTGAATTCCTTAGGTGATCACACAGCAGCCTGTCTGTCTACCTTTCTCTCCCTTCACATGCCTGATAGGACCTTTGATCCAGCTGTCCTCACCTCCTTGCGTTAGGGCTCAGAGTTTGTCATGCCTCCAGGTTTTGGTTCAGGTTGTTCCCTCTTTCTGGAACACTGGTTCCCCCTTCTGTGACCAGCTAACTCCTACCCATTCTTCAATAAATAGCTCGGGCTCCTTGCTTTCTTGGAAGTATTTCCTGACCCCTATGGGTTGAACAGATATCTCTCCTGTGGCTCCTTTGGACATAACATATTACCCCATGCTTCCTCTATAACAGTGGTTCTCAACCTTGGCTGCACATTAGAATCACCTGGGAATCTTTTTAAAATCCTGGTTTCTGGGGCTTATCCTCCAGAAATTCTGTTTCTTTGTTATGGGATGGGGCCACAACATTACTAACAAAGAAACAGAACTTTCAGAGGAGGAGGCCCAGAAATCAGGATTTTAAAAAGATTCCCAGGTGATTCTAATGTGCAGTCAAGGTTGAGAACCACTGCTCTATAATGTAGCACTAATCACATTGTATGATAATGGCTGACTTTCTTGTCTGGGCCCCTCCCCTCTTCTGAGGACAGAAGTCGTGACCTGTTTCTCTTTGAGTTCCCAGTCTCTACCACAGTGTGTGACACACGGAGATGTTTGAGAAATCTTTGTGGAACAAAACAATTGATCTGTCAAATAAGTGATTAGATTCAATGATACAAAATTCTGATGATATAAATACCACCAGTCTTCCCTCCTTCTTTCTCACACTCGTTCCTTCACTTACCAGAGTTTATTCCATGCCCTTTGCGCCCAAAACTTAGCGCTCGCTGTTACAAGCCAGGAATAAAACAGGTGAGAAACAAACCCATTCATTGTCCTCATGGGGCTAATCATGCAAATCAAAATGTAATTTCCACCTGCAGCAAGTGTTCCGAAGGAGCAGTCTAGATAGGGTTGTCAGATAAAAATGCCCAGTTAAATTTAAATTTTGGATAAACGACAAATAATTATTTTAAGTATAATTATTTATCATGCAGTATTTGGGACATATACTAAAATTTTTGTTTGTCTGAAATCAGAGTTAACTAGGCGTCCTGTATAAATATATATATATATATTTAAATATATTTTATTGATTTTTTACAGAGAGGAAGGGAGAGAGGAGAACCATTGGTCGGCTGCCTCCTGCATGCCCCACACTGGGGATTGAGCCCACAACCCGGGCAGGTGCCCTGACCAGGAATCGAACCCTAAGCCACCTGGTTCATGGGTCGACGCTCAACCACTGAGCCACACCAGCCGAGCCATCCTGTATTTTTATTTGCTCAACCTGGCAACGGTAAGTCCAAGGTGCCAGGAGATCACATGGCTGGAGTGCCTGGCCTTGGGTCGGGAAGGGTGGTCAGAGATACTCTGAGATCTGTAAAGCAGAAAGCTTTCTTGGAGAGGAGTCAGGGAGAGGAGAGTGTCCTCAGAGGAGGAAACAGTGAACAGAAAGTAGCAGAAAGTAGCCTGGACAGAGCATATGAGAGAAGGCCCCAGGGGTTTGAGCACAGACATTTAATTCACTGGGATTTGGAGAGAGGAGAAGCAATTGGAAAATGAGTAAATATAGCACGTTTTTAAGGAGGGTGCTGTACAAGTAAATGTCAGGTTCAGTGACTCAGGTTATTGATTCTAAAAGATTAGTCAGGGGAGATGTGCGCTAGACTCACTCAGCCCTTCTGTTGCCGGATGTCAAATAATTCAGACGTGGAGGCTGGTATGCCGGGCGGCACAAGATTCTTAAACCATGCAGTGTCATCCCCAAATGAGCCTGACTTTGCCTGTAAACACCTATTGCTGAAACCGAAGGGTGTCAGGCTGCCTGGACCAAAACCTCAGTGACTATGCACTATGCCTAAACCCCTGGAGCAGTGGTTTTCAACCAGAGACCATTTGGCAAGTCTGGAGACATTCGTCACTGTCACAACTGGGTTTGAGGGGTTGCTACTGGCATCTACTAGATGCAAGCCCAGGACGCTGCTAAACCTCCTACAACAGACAGGACAGCCCCCCTCGTCCTCCACAAAAATTCATTTGTCCCCAAGTGTCAGTAGTGCTGAGGGTGAGAAGTCCTGGGCGGGAGGGGAAATGTCATTCTGAATCCCATGGCAGGCACGAGGTCCCAGCTTCCAATAGTATTCTGGGTGACAGGGCATTTGACATACCGTTGACGACACCCTTTGTGCCACCGTTACCGCAGAAGTGTAGCCGGGTCACAACAGGAAGAGTGAATGAGCCTGGCAGCCTGGCAGGAGCATGTGTGAGGTGAGGGAGGAGGCATAGAAAGGTGCTTCTGTTTAACCACCTTTTCTTGCCTCAACATTGACCACTGAACAGCCTGACCTTGGCTTTCACACAGCCTCCTCTCATGTATTTCCACTGTAGCTTTAACGAAGATCATAGTCGTTCCCACCTTAGATATCCCCCCAAAGATGCCACTGCTGGAGACGATACAGTAGGATCCCCTTATCGGAGGGTTTTGCTTCTGAAGTTTTAGTTACTCGCAGCCGACCATGGCCTGAAAATATTACATGAAAAATTCCAGAAATAAGCAATTCATAAGTTTTATTTTTTTTAAATATATTTTTATTGATCGCAGAGAGGAGGGGAAAGGGAGAGAGAGATAGAAACACCAATGATGAGAGAGAATCATCTACCAGTCATCTCCTGCCCGCCCCTCACTGGGGACTGAGCCCGCAACCGGGCTCAAAACCTGGGCATGTGCCCTGATTGGGAATGGAACGGTGACCTTCCTGGTTCATAGGTCGACGCTCAGCCGCTGAGCCATATGGCCGGGCAAAGTTTTAAATTGCATGCTGTTCTACATCACATGACAAAATCTCGCGCTATCTCGCCCCTGACGAGAATCTCGTCTCCACGCGCTGCTTCCTCGCCATTAGTCACGCAGTAGCCATCTTGTTTACCAAGTCCGCCGCGTGTCGCAGTGCTTGTGTTCTGGTCACCTTTACGTTACTTAATAACGGTCCCAGAGTGCAAGAGTGGTGATGCTGGCAATTCGGGCGCACCAAAGAGACGCCGGAAAGTGCTCCCTTTAAGTGAAAAGGTGAGTACCCTCCAATAAGTTGTTTTGAGAGAGAGACAGACCACATTCACATAATTTTTATTGCAGTACAGTGGGGCCTTGACTTACGAGTGTCCCGACTAAGGAGTTTTTTGAGATTTGAGCCGTCTCGGCCGATTTTTTGCTTTGAGTTGCAAGCTCAAAAAAATTCGGGTTACGAGCCAGCTTCAGATACCCCACCGCTAGTTGGCGCAGTGAACGTCACAGTGATTTGACGTAGGAGTAATTTGAGTTATGAGCTCCGTCACCGAACGAATTAAACTCGTAAGTCAAGGCCCCACTGTATATTATTATAATTGTCCTATTTTATTATTACTCTCTCACTGTGCCTAATTTATAAATTAAACTTTATCATAGTTATATATGTATAGGAAAAATCACAGTACATGTAGGGCTCAATACTATCCGCTCTTTCAGGCATCTAACGGGTCTTGGAACATATCCCCTGCTGTTGCAGGGGGGACTACTGCATGCTGGGAAAGCCACCCCACCACTCCCTCTCCATCTCCCCCTCCCCCACCCCCCCACTCCAGTTCCTGCTCCTAGTGACGCAGCTGCCTTAGCATTGAGGCGGTTTCATCCTACAGCTCAGTCTTCCAAATGTGGGGATGCCCCAGCCTCACGGAGCAAACTTGGGGTTCCTTCTGTGTGCTTTTTTTAAAATTTTTTTTATTTCAGGCATAAGACTAGTATAGATAAAAACCTAACACTCTTGCCAGCATGGCTAAGTGGTTGAGTATTGACCTATGAACTATGAACCAGGAGGTCATGATTCCATTCCCATGCCTGGGTTGTGGCTCGATCCCCAGTGTGAGGCATACAGGAGGCAGCCAATCAATGATTTTCTCATCATTGATATTTCTATTTCTCCCTCCCTCTGCCTTCCTCTCTGAAATCAATACAATATACTTTAAAAAAAAAAAAAGCACCTGACACTCTTGTATCCATGTCCATCTTTGGCCAATGCTAACATCTTTACTTTAAAACAGTTTTTTAAAAAGAAGCTTAAAGATGTAGCTGACGATCCCTCTTTAGTCCTCTTCCTTTCCAGAAGTGACCTCTCTCGTGAAATTAATATGTATCCTTATCACATAATAATACTGCATTATGTTCATATCCATAAACAATGTGATACCATGCATATCCTTTTACCACTTATTTTTGCCACTAAACATCATGCTTTGAGAGTTTATGCATACCGATACATGGAAATCAGTTTTTTAGCTGTTCAAAGTATATATATGAATACACCACAAAGTCTTCAAGCAATGTCTAGTGATAATACATGGGTTATTTTCAATTTCTCTCTATCCCCAAACACTGCTGTCATGGTGCTCATGTCCTTTCAGTGGCTCTCTATTCCCCTCTCCCTGCCTGCTGCATGAAGAATGAATTGCGGGGGTTAGAGGGGAACCGTGGCAGCTCTAGCAGTTGTTCAGATGATGGACCAGGAGAGGGGCAATAAGATGGCATTAGGTGGATGGAGTCAGGATATGCTTTTGCAGTATTGTTACAGATCTCCTGGTGAGAAGAAGAGAGGAACCTGCAGCCTTGTCTCTTGCCAGTTCCTAACTCAAATATGACCCTGTAGCCATCCTTGGCTGTCCTCCCTCCTGCTGCTGCTAGGTCTCTGTAGGTTTTCCCTCCACCTCCTCTAGTCTTTTCCTCTTCTCCCGCTCTCCCTGTGTCCTTTCTTCCTCCCGCACAGCTGACTCATTCTTTGAGTGTCAGCTTGAAGGTAGTTAACAGATCTCCTGGTGAGAAAAAGAGAGGAACCTGTAGCCTTGTC